TGCTACAATGTTTCCAAAATAAGATTATTACTGTCACTTTCCATCTCACAAATACACTAGATGTTACTGAAGAGATCAGATACAACTCTGTCAAACAGTGACGTTCCCTTACCAGAAGCATCAGATAGTTAGTGTGGCCCAGGTGCATCTCAGAAGGTATCATATAGATGGAGAAGCATTTCAGTCATTCAAGTCTAGGGCTTGAGAAAAGAGCACAATCTTGAATTTCATCTTTGTGCTGAGATACTAAATTTGTCTCAGGTACATGGAAGTGTGCAAATCCTGTCAAGGATCTTTTCTGAGATCTAAGAAATATTTTTATCACTGGTTTAATCCCATATAAAAACTTTGCTAGTCACTGCCATGAAAAGAGGAGCATAAAATCCTATGACAGTGCCCAGTATCAGCAGCCCATACTCTTTGGATACCAAAGCTTAGGTGCCAAAGAAGTGGGTATTGCAACAGCAGCTTAAATATCTCAAATGCTTACTGACAGGCCAAGCTACCCTTCCAGATATAAGAGTTGTCAGTATATACAGAAGCTCTGTTCGTCCTGATGAGTTTAGAGTGAGATGTCCAAAACAAAGGCTACTATCTGTGTAGGCCTTTAAAATTACCTGGTGAAGATAATGTATCATTTGGCACAACAGCCTTGTCTAGCTTTGATTTATTTTTAAAAAATATATATATATTACATACATACATATGTATGTATGTATATGCTAAGATCTATTGGTCTTTCTCCCACTTGAGAAGTGCAGTAAGATCTTTTGAGGACTAGGAATATGCTCTCCAGGGCAGCTCCAGGAAGGGGCGGCTCTCAAGTTTTCAACAGTTAGTGGAAAGAATGGAACACCTCTGTAGCCGGGATGATACTAATACATCTGAGTTGAGAGCAAGAGAGACACAACACTCCTTTGTTTTCTATCAAGAGATCTGCTGATCAAAGAGATCTATAATTCAGGCCCAGAGCAAGAGGTGAAAACACAAGCACGTATATTTTGCTGGACAAGTTTGCCATATTGCACTCCGATATTAATACATCCAAACCAGGTTCAGCAAGGTTTGACCCAGTATGTGCACTCAGTGCTTAATCTGCTGAGGTTTTGTTCATACCAGCGCGCAGAATGGTGCCTTATTGGGTGCTTGTGTCACATTGACCCAACCAGTATAGAAACTTTTCCAAAGAAATAATAAAGATTCTCCACAAAAGGAGGACAGAGAAAACACTATTGAAGATCTTTTAGTTCAGCAGCCACTGTCTACATGAAGAGATGACACGGTGACAGTAAAAGATATTCAAGACATGCAAGTTTTTCTAGCCTAAGTGAATGGTATACACATGAAACAACAGTAAGATTTGACTAAGCAATACACAAGAAAGTGTAACATATGGACTAGTGCTCCAAGAACAAATGGCTGGTCAGATGCAATCAGTAGCGTACAAAATTAGAAAAACGCTTATGCATACCTGTAGCGTCTTCTGATTCTTACTGAAATGATTTCTCTTTCTGATATTTTTGGTCAAATCAAGGACTTATAGTCTTTCCAACATACACTGATTACTGTTTGTACAAAAGACTGTGCTAAGTGCAGTCACTGATTAATGGAGTGGACTGACAATAATTTATGATATATTTAGAACAAGTCTAAGATGCATTTATTTTCTTCATGGCAAATGAGATCTCCCCACAGGGGAGAAAAAAAAAAAAAAAAAGAAAAATGACATACCAGAAAAGTATTTTAATTTCTCTCATACTCAGTAGTGTGGGGATGTGTATGTGTGTGTGTATATATATATAGGTGTGTATATATACATATATGTTTGCTGCTCCACTATAATGATGTAAAGTAAATGTTGATGTAAATGATGTAAAGCCATGTTTCCCATGTTAATTACACCATATTAAATAAAAATACCAGACAACCATTTTAATCTGGAGTTCATAGTTTCTTAAATCCAGAGCCTATAGTTTATTCTGAAAGCAAGTTCTCATACAAAGCAGGTTTATGAGATTTGAATCGCTTGATTCAAGTCATCTGATGAACTAGCTACATAGTGAAGGGGAATAAAAAGATTTTTAAGTATAACAGTATAATGAATCATGCCTATTTATTAGTCATCCTAATGAATACCTGCAAATTATTCTGCAATAAAGTTATTTTAACAAATTGGAGAACACAGACATATGTCAGTTACTGGGACAATTGCACAGTTTACTGTCAAGCAATTCTAGTAATTATTTAAATTGGTGATTAGATATCACATCAGCTAAGATATTTTAGAATTCCTTGAACTTCCAGTATGGAAATTTACTGTGTATAATTACATTACTGAGAAATATCCATACAGTAAATGAGTATGCAGATCTCTATATTTAGCAACCATAATGAGTCTATATTTACTAGCTCATCTGTTTACACATGTTCATGCTGTTTGCAGAAGGCCATTAGACTTAATTTTCAACTTGTTTTCTAGCAAGAAAGTCAAATTTACAAGAAAGGAGTGAGATTTAATCGTGCTGGGTTTTTTTAGCAGTTCAAAGAGTTTTTTTAGGGTGCTTAGCACAAAGAGATTACAGTCCATGACTACGGCTCCCAGCAATGCTTCTTAAACACTGTCAATGTGATTTCTTCAATAAAGTGAGCAAGAAAATACTAAAATCCCTTTAAAATATCATTTTTCATATAATTCTCTCACAAATAATAAATTCTCTCATAAAACTTTTTGTAAAGTCTTACACCTTTTTTTGTTGGTACAAGCTACAGACAAGGCACAGATAGTAATTTTAAGCTTATTAGTAAAATTACCTAACCTCACACTATGACCATTTCTTGCTGTACATAAATTGCACAGATGTTGAGCAAAGGCCATACCTTTTTCCAGGAACTTTTGCCATCATTTTTAATACAAGCATAGTTGGTCAAAATTCTAATGTATCTTTAAATAAGCCTTCATTAATGCACACATGTTAATGATAGCAATAGTCTAACACATTTTAGGCTAGGGAACTCCACAGACAAAGCTATTTTAAAAGCTAAAGCCCTTCCTTTTGTTTAAGGAGAAACAGAAGTCCACCAGGGGAATACACCTTCCTTCAAATTGCCAGAGAAAATGCTTAATAAACCTACACTTCTCATCTTGCAGAAGGAAGCTGAAATATACAGCATAACTCAGAAAAAACACAGCATAGTTCAGGATGAAGTATTTGCTCTACCATATTATTCATTGAAAGAGTTTCCTGTAGCAATTACAAAACAAACTATAAGATACTGAACTTAAGAAAATATAAAACGTGGTCAAAGAAATAGCAAAGCAGGGAAGACATAAAATTGGATGGAGTAAAGGAAAAGAAATACAAGCAACTATAAGGAATGGTTGTAACAGGACAACAATTTAAACAGGTTCTTCGTATTTTCCCAGATGTTCATGGCTTGCAGTGCCCATAGCAGATATGTGAGTAAGCACATAGTGCTGCTCTGAAAGAGAAAGACACAGACATAAGATACAGAGGGTAACAGTATCCCACTCCGGAGCAAACCACACAATTCTCCTTGGGCACAGAAGCAATAGCTCCTATATTAAAATGCTCCATTCCTTCACGGTCACTTTTGTAGAATCATTCCCAAGATGAAAGAGAATTTCACACCACCTCAAAGGAAGAAGTTATTTAGCTGTGGGAAACTCGGGAATAGCAATACGGCTTGTCTAAGGCAACAAGGGAAACTTGTGCAGTTGGGGACAGAGTGTGGATTCTCTTCACTCCTATTCTAAGTTTTGCAGAAGACAAAGAATCCAATGATAACACATGGTCTTCTTATCTCAGACCTCCTGAAGCAAAACGAAACGAAACGAAACTTCAGTTTTAAACCTTGAAAAGAAGCCACACTAAAAGGCAATAAAATTACTCCAACTAATACAGTGAAGAAAAACCCAGCATCCCAGTAATTCAGAATGAATTCTGTTCTCTTGATATTCTCAACCAACAGATGTTTTAAGAGCATTTTCTGCAGAAAAGCAGTATCTATCCTGACAGACAGTTTTTGACTGACTGTCACGAAAAAGAAAACAGAGCCATTTATACTAGAAAACCATTAAGAATCAGTTCTCACATACAGGTAGAAAGTTTACAAACTTTTCAACGAAAGCTTTAAAGTGTGCTGATAATAGAACTAGAAATATTAAAATGCCTGTCTGATTTTCCACTGATTCATCCCTAAATGGACACTGGCTCACAGGATTAAAATCGTTTTCATAATTTTAACTAGAGGATTCAAATTTTCATCTGTGGGACTCAAAACACTGTTTCAGTAGAGCACTATCTAGTTAGATGGATGAAGGTCAAACATATATATAAATTTCCCACTCTCCAAGTCAGACTTTTGAGAAAAACATACAGACCAAAATACATATATGCAATTCCCAGCAGCTAACAGAATTATTTCTGAAAGCATTCTATCATTTTCCTAAATTTGATTTCCACTAAATCAGAGACAAACTGTCCAACTGAACACTGTTTGAATTAATCCATGAAAAAGGTCTGGTTCTACAATATCTACACTGCCCAGAAAATAAATATCAGTAACAATCTGTGCCTAACATCTCAAACTGCAGCACTCATTTGAGGAAGGACTAAGCAGTAGCATGAAGAGAATATGAAGAATCCTCCCTACAACACCAGAGTACCTTAGCCATTATTTTGGTGTTGAAGGAACAAGGTAATTAGCACATCTCTGTCACTAGGTATAAGCATCAGAAGATTTGCAAAATAACCAGTCCACTGAATCCGTGTCCACTATTCCCTTGATAAACAGAAAAGGCTGGTCTCTTCAGGCTCTTTTCTCTCAAATACAAGACTGGTACTGTCTCCTTTTCAGGGAAGAAGACAGTCATCTGTCTACATCTTGAAGAAAAAGTAGATCCTCATCAATTCCTGAAAGGAGTGGTACTTGTAATTAAAGGCAGGTTAGACATTGTATAAAAATATTTAAGTGATTACCTCTCCTATAAAGACAACCATAACACAATCCAGTTTTTCTTCAGGGGACAACTTATCAATAAGGGAGTGGAGAGTTTCTGTAAGGTAAGACTTGACTTTTCTTTTCACTGTAGGTATTCCCATTACAATGGAAACTGAAATCAAACAAACCAGAAATGTACGTTCAGACAAAACAAAAATCTTATCTCATAATAAAGCATTGCTTAAGAAATGCGAAGAGTTAAAAGATGGAGATAACAGTAATTAAAAATAGTTTAAAAATATACCACCCATCATCAGGAGCATGATTAACATAATCACAGCCACTCAGTGCAAACAAAGCAAACAAACAAAAAAAAAGTAATCCTAGACATGCCAGACTATTGCATACGTAATAATCAACAACCATGGTATCAATCAGATAAGGTGCACCAAGACTTAGAGTGATTAAACTCCCTAACTTAGTTTTATTTTCAAACTAGCACAACTATTCTTCACAACTCAAGTATTAACTTCTCAGAAGTTGTCTTTTAAAATGACACTGCTGAAAAAAACTCTATTACTTTCCTTGCACCTGATTTGGGTTCTTCTAGAAAAACAAGTCCAGGCCATCAGGATTGCCTGGAAATCCCTCACTGAAATCTCTTACCCCTGTTAAAAGCACCTCAAATGCAAAGCAGTCTGCCCCCAGCTACAACACTATTAACATCTTTCAGCTGGCCACTTGACTCTCGTGTCCCTTAACTTTCCCATAGTCTTTCTTCTGCATCCCAGCCTGTACCCAGGGCTGGCTACCTACTAGGAACCCAGCAGACAGCAGCAGGAACACAGTAAATGGATAAAGCAGACTTCATGAAGTCAGCCCCAGCATTCCAAGCCATCTGCGTGAAATGACTTACCACATCATAAATATATAAAATCAAACAACTACTAAAAAATGTTGTTTATCCTTCCTTATAGAGCCTGCTTTGCCTAGCAACTAAACATTAACAAGCTCTGAATTTTTAAAACAAACACTCAAAAAGCACAGTGACCACGAAAGGGGAAGAGAAGAAAATAATTTAACTGAGAATTTCCTCCCTCTTTTTCATTAAACCTGAATCCAATTTCTATTTTGTAATTTCAAACTTCTGTCATATATTCCAAATGGGATATAATACAGGCTTCACTTGAAACAATAAAGGAATACGAGCCTTTTCCTTCCTGAATAACAACGTTGAAATAAATGGCGTTTATAGTCGGAAAACCAACCCTATGGCTTGAGCCGGCACATTTGTCACACAGGCTTGCCTTCTGTTAAAAGGAGGAGCAATCAAACTTGGGGAAGTAATGAAAAAAATACAGGCCAGGAGTAACAACAATTCATTGGTGGGGCCTTCAAGTTTAGAGACACACACACAGATGCTTTGAGTTATATCAGCTTGGTTGGGCTTTATGCTATTTATTTTCTAGAACTCCAAGACTGGGACTCCGTGGAGCTATACTAATGACCAAAGCTCAGAATCTGTGAGGATTAGGAAGAAAAAAAAAAAAAAGGGGGGGGGGGGGGGGTGATCAACGGCATTGCAGCACAACGCTGATTTTTTTTTTTTCCATTCCAATGAACGTCCACATTTTATTGATGCCATTATTTCCAATTATCCTAGTTCTTCCAACTCAATGTATAACTTCCAAGTTATACATTGAAATACATTGTTCAAAAAACCAGAAACATCAAATCTAAAATACTTATATCCATGCATGGTTGCCCCACAAATCTGAAAAGCCAAAGGGATATGTCCATTAGCAGTTCAGAATCTGTTGTTCAGAATCTTGAGCTTTGTTCCCTCTCACTTAGTTACAAAAAATTCATCCAAACTAAATGCTTCTTAATGTGTACCTTAACCTGGGATGGGGTGTGATTGAGATTATGCAGAAAAGAATAAAGCTGAAGCCAAACTCCTTTCATCTTGGATTCAGTGCGAATTCTAAGAGATATCAATATCACACAAGTTAAATATGTCCTTGATCTACCAAGTAATGCAGTAAATTATATTACTAGAACGAGAAAGTCCTCCAGATATAAAATATAAAATAAATATTGTATCAGCATACCTCCTGTCCTTCCAAGGCCAACTTGCACAGAAGGTTGAAGGCTTCCTTCATTTTTCAACAAATGAGGCAAATGGTAATAGATACTTGGCACTTGAAGAGATTTTCTACTTGTTAGCTCTTTTAACAATTTCAGTGTCTCATCTGCAAACATACATGGAATCAGTAATGCAGAAAACAAACAATATGAAGTTTTGTGGTAAATAACACAAAATTCCAAGCTTGGTCCTAACTGAAAAACAGAACAAACAATGCATTTTGCTGAGGCATTATGTCTTGTGTACAAAGGAATTCTTTTCTCCTTTTAGTTTTTTAAATAAACTACGGCCAAGATTATTTTCTACTCAGTAACCTTGCTACAGACATAGTTAATACTTACCTGATCACACAAGACTTAGTGTATAATCACAGAAGTAAAGAATGCTCCATTTATTTAGGTTGGGTTCTGCCCCTCCCCCTGCCATGAATCAAAACAGGAATCTTATTTACCTAGATTATGCTTACATTATGCTTACAGAGCTCATCACCACGTAGTGATGCTCCTGCAAATAACTTTTCAAAGCTACAAATACATATTGGAATACACTGCACATACAGATACAAAGCAAAAATAGCATTAAATATACAATTAAGATTTTGAGTATTTCTGCAATAAAATGAACACTAACAGGAATTTAATTTAGATGATTAGAGTACTTACAATAATTCTTGCTCTTTCTAGAATAACTGCCTCTCAGGATGTCCAGGTGGCTCTCAAAGTTGCAAATCACAGTTTTTAAATACCCCTGCTGTGCGTGTTGATTTTCTTACATCAAGTGTGAAAACAACTCTTATTTCAAATGACAAATATGATCGCATATGGACCTTTGAAAACTTATGGGCTTTACAGTATCAAGGTAAGTAAAAAACTGTACTCATGGTTTCCCAGAACAAATTGAACTGTGCAGAAGTGAGAAAAATAACGCCATAAATGTCATCCCTCTCAGATTCTGAGTGTAGCTTCTACAAAGCTGGAACAGTTTTGTTGTGAGTTTTGTTTTGTTTTAATATTTGTTTTCGGGTGAAACTAAATTCCTAAACACTTATAATCTTGAAAAATGCTTTGTAAATAGATGCCATAACTAGAGATGCTAATTTTGATAGATTCCAATACAGGTACATTTTACTTTTCCTGCCAACATTTCCTTTAGCTTCAACTGCAAAAGCTGGACTAAAAATTCTCTCAAAATATGACAACTCTTTGTATGAATGAATAATGATTTACATAAAACAATGTGGAATTCTTTCAGCTTCAAAGATAGCAAATACTACATAGTATTATGTACCTTTAAGTACATTAAACTTAATAAAATCTATCTACATTCCGAACACAAAAGCTCAGGAATTCAGCTGACTTGCCATCATGGCTCCACATGGAAAAAAGAGGATGTCCCAGTTGGGATGCAGACATGGCAGAAAGTTTAAAACATGAATCAGTAACTTCAGCTGCATCAGAAGAGAGTAACTCCCTATGACTATATTGTCTATAAGCAAGCTAACTCATTTTTAGAAATAAATGTGGTAATAACTTAATCATAAATCCAGTATCAAACTTACAGGACTTTCTCTATTGTTGTTCGCTTTAACAGCAAAAAGATACACACAGAAGAGGAAGACAAGAGTCACAGACTATGAAGGTAACCTTTATCCATACCATTCCTGTGCATCCAGGGAACTACAGAGATCAGGTTGGATAGGCCATTAGTGTCAGACAGAGCAATTCATCCTTAATATCAGCACTGAGGGCCTATAATTATAACCCTTCCCCCCGAAAAAATTTTATAGAAGACAGTAACCCATAGCACAAATGCAAGTAGATAAGAGATTCAAAAACCTTGATCCAGTTTTTTGAATTGCAAAAATCTTTGGGCTTATATTCCTCATTAGGCCACTACAGTGAAATTTCTGCAACCTACCAAATCAGACCTCTTGCCAGAAAGTTTATATTTATTTGTTATTAATTTTCTATCTAGAATAGTCAGACTGACTAATGCAGCAATAGTGTGATTTTAAAAGTTAAATTCAGAACTGGTGAGTAGTGAGTGCAAAGGCATTCTCTAATATTGCCAAACACAGCTCTCAGTAAACTTGAGCATCAGCCTCTGAAATGGGTAAAAACTTATGGAAGACTTTACCAGTTCAACATTGAATCACTCATTATCAAAAAGGGCATTATCTGTACATTTTAGAGATCATAACCGATACCTTAGATAGCCTGTACATTTTTACATCTTCCAGCTGACATTTAAACATATTTTAATTACTTCAAGTTCATCCATTTCTTAAACACTGTTTGCTCACCTTTCTCCTCAAGCTCTATTTAAAAAGTGATGTAAATTATTGTCAAAATATATTCAGTATGTTAAATAAGTAACCAGAAGTTCCAAACTTTTGGAGCTAGGCGTGGAATAAGTATTCAGTCTCTAAAGTCAAAAGAATGAAGAGTGGGTGGATCATTAAGAATAGAAATTAGAAAAAAACAAAAACCAAAATATCCCCACCACATATAAGGTATTATAGATCCTTTATTTGCACCGCTGAACAGTTTCATTCCGCTTTCTTGGTATTAATTTCTTATTCTACAGTAATAAGAAGAAACATTATAGTGCAGTTATAAAAAAATAGCTCAATCACAGTATGTACCTGAAAAATTATTCATTGCATTCTTACTCCCATTTGTTTCTGCTACTGCACGCCTGAACTGCTCCAAGATAGCGTTCAGCTCAGAAGAGCGTTGCAGAGTGCGATGCTCAGCTATACGAAGACGTTCCTTCAAAGCATGAAATTCCCGTTGATAAGCAATCAACTTTTCTAGAGAGAAAAAAAGATGATCCTGGTTATTTTTGGAAACAAACACCTACAGATAGATCCAACAAGGGTCAGGGACTGCTCAGCTAGGCAGCACCTGAAATTCAACCAAGAAGGGCACAGCCCAGTACCTGAGTTAGGCACCTTAGCATTTACACAGCATACAGAGGGAAGAGTGAGCTGCACCAGACAGGGATGCAAAGCAGGCATTGAGGGGGGTATGCCCCTCACCATAGCCACAGACAGGGGAAATCTTTGTGTCCCCATTACTCGGCACCACAAGGCAATTCTGAATGTTTTCTTGGAACAGATGCCCACAAACCCTTTCTTTTAAGAAGCAGAATAGGAGTGGTGCCTTACAAAAGCCCCCTCTGAATACTTTGTAAGAATGAGTGGAATTTGACAATATTTCAGACATATCAATTTCAACCCCAAGTTTTAACTTAATGATATTGTCAGTGCCTGCAAGAACAAAATTTTGACCAAAACCCTGCTAATGTAGATACCTACATGTATTCTTTGAAAGGAGACTAAAAGGGAGAGGGAAACACCAAAACTCATTTGTTGATACATTGCCTATGCCCTTGCCACCCAGCAAAGTAAGTATCTCTAGTTTGTGCATCTTTCCTTCTTCCTGTTGGTCATTTCCTCAAATCTCCTGCTCACCACCATCACTCTCCTTCAGCCAATCTACAGATATGGACTGGAGTATCTTAAGTGATTTTGTACCTTGTAATCAATATTCCAACCACACAGCTATCATCCATAGACATATTTTTTTTGTTATTTACCTAACCATTCCTAGCCTTTTAGTATTGCAATGGTAGGGAAGTAGAGGTTTTGCAAGCAATTTGAATCTCTTCCTGTTGCTACATTACAGTAATTGATGGAGTAAAAAAGGAATTACAGTCAACTTTCCCTTGTTAATAATACTGCATTTCCTCCAACTTCTTTCAATTTACATTTATTTTCTTTTTTGTAGTTGGGATGTACTGTTCTGATTATGTTTAGAAAACATAATTAGCTAAAATGCCCTCTGTTTTGAAGACAGAAAAATAAAAACATAGTTCACTACCTCTTAAAAACATTTCCCTTGCCAGCCTTATTTTCCTTTTTTCATTAAAACCAAATGGTTATTGCTTTTGTGCCAGCAAACCCAGAACACAGATGCTGGCCCACAATACAGTGCTAGGCACACTACACACTGACAACTGAATCCAGACTGCTATTTGAAACAGGACTTGGTGCTTTAGTCAGCAGTATTGAGAAGGCCAGGAAATTTTTCTGGAGTTTATGGCATGAAGGACATTCTTACTTGCCAATGATAACCCAAAGAAATCAGAGATTGCTTGGAACCATGTCTACTAGTCACAGTAAGGTTACTAAAAATTTTAAGCTAAGTGAATATAGAATTGTATTAGTGTAAGTGCCACACAAGTGTGCAAATTATATCACCTCCCCAAAATGAATGGATGATGGCAGGTTATATAGATGCCTGTTAATTTCTGTCTAAACAGGGAAGAACAGGTGAGCAACCAAAGTACATGCAAGGTTTGTACTGGGGGCTTCTATAGCAGTGGGCAGCCTCAGAAGCAGCCTGTAGCATCAGGTCTCCCTCCTTGTCTGTCTTCATGGTACAAGACAGGAGACAAACTTTGGTACTTGTCCTGGTTTCGGCTGGGATAGAGTTAATTTTCT